GAGGAAAATTCCTTCCCGACCCCAAATATATCTTATTGCTTGTCTCCCCAGGGAAATTTACCAACAGAACCATACCGTTATAATTATTTATGCTGCTATAGCAGTACTGGTATAACTCCAGAATAAGAGCATCCAGATGGGGATTTATTCTCGTACTGCTGTATCACTATAGTTCTGCCAGTAAATTTCCCCACGGAAGCAAGCCCTCAGACACAGTAATTTGATCAGTTACTTTCTGTCTCAGACATAGTTCAGTACCCATAAGCCAGTTTATTCTGTTACCTGGTATTCTATGGATAAGAATATCAAATCAGGACAAAAGGGGTATTTCAAGACCTGCCAGTGTCTAGTAACCAAATCAGATGACATAAACATCCATGTTAAAGGGGGAAACAAAGGTGTGTTCTTAAGATGTCACTTTTTCTGTGGCATGGGTTAAAGCTGAAGCATTCACTTGGGCAGTGGTTCCCAAACTGAGGGGCATGCCCCCCCAAAGGGGGCACAGAGAAAAGTTCGGGGTGGGGCGTGCGGTGGGGCCGGGGCCAGCCTCCCTGGGGGGGAGGGGAGGAAGGGAGTGCCACCAAGCCCTGCTCCACCTCCAGCCCCGCTCTATTCTGCCCCCTACTCCACCCCCAGTCCAGCTCTGCCCTCATTCCCTCTCCGCCCACGGGCCAGCTCCACCTCCAGCCCTGGGCTCCTTCCCTATCCCCGGATCTTTCCCCAGCTCTGCCTTCTGCTGAGGAAGTCGTGGCTCTGTGGCATTGGGGGAGGGGAGGACAGATTCCATTACTGATAAACGTGGGGGAGGTGCAACAGGAAAAGTTTGGGCACCACTGTTTTAAGGGCCTGATCCAGAACCCACTGAAGTCAACAGAAAGAAATCTTGTCACTTCAGTGGGCTGGAGATCAGGCCCTAAGAACTTCAAATGTGATTATTTCCATTGACAGCAGATAGTCACGGGAATCAAGGGGCGGCAGTTATCTCACTCAGCAACAGCCTTCACCATTACAAGTAGCAATCACAACAGCCCCAGCGGCTGTAGCTGGCAAACCCTAACTCTTGCCCTGGGCCTGCATTCGCAGACTTCTTGCACAATAACAACAATATTTAAAAGGGCAGTGTCCATAATGAGCAGGTTGGAGAGATGCGGATGAGGCCTTAACATTTACCACCTCAAAGACAAATTGTCCTGGAGGAAATTTGCTACGAAGACTGCTTTTGGATCTTCTAGAAATTGTCCCCCTTTCTTGAAGTTTCTAAACAACATGCTAAGGAGAATCCCCGTTTTCATTCAGCTTGGAATGGTTCCTACATCAGGCTCATTTCCCTTATGAATCAGAAATCTTGGCAGTGGCAACCTATTATTCCACTAACTAGAACATACCATCCCTTTTTTGCCCAATTAAGTACAAAATAGTAATAGTGTTTACTGCACAGCGATGACAGACAAACAAAGTCTCGTTGATTATGAGCCTCTGTGGTGTTGAGGTTTCCATTCCACATGTTACTTAATATATTTACCAATGTACAAAAGAACGTGAGGGTGTCCAGTGGAAACACAGACATAAAATCATTAGCAAAAAATACAAGGTGGTGAGATGACCCTGGAAGGAGGGGGAAAGAACCCACAGGGAGATAACTTAATAGCCTGCCCCACTGAGCTGGCAACCATCACCATACCAGAAGCCAAAATGAATCCGATTATTTTGCAGACAATGCTGACACTCAGTTGTTTTGGTGTCAGCATGAATACAAGTGTGCGTGGATTTGTGACGGGTTATTGGAGAGATGGGGAGTTGAGATTCGATAACGTTTCTGCTGAAAATGTAAAGGATCAGTGTTGTTTTCACAGGTATACTCACTTTGAATGAATTAAATAAGGAAAAGGGAAATATGGCATAGAAGGACAGACCCTCAGCTGGTTGAAGTCAATGGAGTTATGCCAGTTTACAATAGCATAAAATGTTTTCGTTATCATTGCCTCCTAACTATACTGGAATACATAATGTTAAATCATTGCTTCTAATAGACAAACATAAGCAGAGGGCATTTCAGAGAAAAGGGGCATTCCATCAACTGTATTTATTATTTTACTTTAGATCTGCAAAGTTGATGCCCGTAGTCAGCAGCTTCTTACTCATACTGGACATCCAAAAATTCAGTGGGCCAATGGTATCATATAACAGAGAAGACAATCTGGCTAAAGGTGGAAAGGAAATTCTGTTTTTATTTGTCATTCCTTGTTTTTTACTACTTGCATTAGAATTCTGTCTCTGGCCCCGTTCATAGCTGCTGCGGACATCAGCCACATGTGTACTGGCACACCCAGTTGTGTGTTCCTCCCATACAGGGCAAAGATGAAGCTGGCCGTTGAGAGGCAGCAACACTGAGAACCGAAGCCTCCGTTAAGCAAAGCACTTGAAGTTCGGAACGTGCATAACAGTAAGCACTTTGTTAAATCCCATTGAAATGCATGCGCTCAAAGTTAAGCATGTGCCTAAATGCTTTGTTGAATCACGGCCTAGAAAGACTCCCATTGACTTCAGTGGCGCTTTGGTTCAGGCCCCAAAAGAAGTTCCAGTAGATGGAAAGTTAAAAGAACATTGTGCTGGGAAGCCCTTTAATGGTTGTTATTTGGGGATTCGGTGATTTCCCAGCTTTGCTGAGGCAGCATTTCTCTTCTATTATTTTTTAAACTTAAAAAAAATTAATCCATGAAAAACATTTAATCAACGATTCCAAAATGGGCAGCATGCATGTGTCCCAAACCCTCCCCAGATATCTGATCATAGAATATCAGAGTTGGAAGGGACCTCAGGAGGTCATCTAGTCCAACCCCCTGCTCAAAGCAGGACCAATCCCCAATTTTTGCCCCAGATCCCTAAACGGCCCCCTCAAGGATTGAACTCACAACCCTGGGTTTAGCAGGCCAATGCTCAAACCACTGAGCTATCCCTCCCCCGCTCTGGTCACAAATGTGTCCTTGCCTTTCTGATACAGGAAACATGCAAAATATTGTTTATCTTTTTGCCACCTGAGTTTGGTATCATCATGAGACACAGCGAAGCTAAATGCAGTGAACTAGACTAAGAACTATGAACCTTATCTATTTTCAACATTTTTTTTTAAAAGGAAGGAATATGTGTTGTGTGCTCTTCTTGAGAAGTTCCTTATTTGTACTAAAATTCCTTGCCCTCTGGTCAACATGTGCCTACCCCTAATCACACTTATCTTCCCCCTCCCTTCCTTATCTGGCAAAGTTTCTCAGATGCATGTCATATCCTAGACAGGAAAGATGACATTACATAGCTTGCCTAAGAAATCCATACAAATCTGAGACCCCTCTACATGTATGGATGATCATTCATTTTAAGGAACATGAATAGCAATTTTATGGAAACGACACCATTGGCATAACAGAATGATTGTTTTGCTAATACAAAATCTCTTAGGGTAATGGCTGTGAGAAGTATCAGTTATGGGTGAGGCCCAAATGGTGAAGTGAGAGCGGTGTGTTAGTATTTTTTTTTTCCTATTTAGCTGTATTACATAGCACCTAGAGACCGCAATCAATACTCTCTGGACAGTGGGAAATATTAATACCCGCAAAGGTGGTGACTTTGTTAAATAAGTGACCCTGTTTAAGGAGATAAACACATTAGCAAATACCAACAGAATGTTGTTGTTTCAAAAAGTCACATTTAGAAAGGAAAATCTTCCCTTAAAGGCCATCAAACAATGTTCTGGAAGCATAAGTACGGTGTATTTTAAGTAAACCAAATGAAATGAGTGCTTGTGCATAGTTCTAAAAGAGAATCTTAAATTATTGACTCAACAGTCTAAACAAAACATCAATGAGTTAACAGAGGACTACATTGTAATTTCCTTACTCATGCTGAGGAATAATTTACATCTTGAGCCATCCCAGTGATTTCAATGGGACTACTCAAGGTGTAATGTATTACTTTGTTCAACAAATAAGGGTAAGACAAGCTACTCCTTAATATCTTGTGCTGTGGAAAACAGAATACTAAAATATGTACAAAACAGAAAGCGGAAATATTCAAGCATGTTAATTAAAAAAAACCCACTCCCTTTTAGATCTGTTTAAAACGTTTCACACAGTCTTTAAATGACCTTCCCCCCAGAATGAATAAAGGTCAGTTTAATGCAGCATATAGATAAATGCAGTTTATTTATGCTTTAGGATAAAAGGAGGTACTACAGGACTCTCAGATCCTGGGAAGAAATGAAGGCACAACTTTAAGACTACTAGTTGCTTATCAGAGTACTGACCTAACTACACACTAGAGGACAAAATTCTAATAGATCAACATGCTTCTGCCAGTTTAGAATTTGGTTTTTGATATTTTATATAGTTTTTAATGTCTTTGGACTAAATCCAGTCACTGATGTGCTGTTTCAGAAATATTTTACACTAAAGTTTGTACAATACTTTCTTTCAAAAGAAAGTTTAAATTTCTGATTTCTCTCCACTCTACTCTGTTGTAGAGAAACAGAGAGAAAAACCTTCTGGAATGCCATACTGTTCACTCATCGGATCAAATACGAAGCACAGGACACTTTGAAATGTTAAAAATCACAATATACAACATGGATTTTAGCTACAATAAAAGCCAGCTTGTTTGCATCATGCACTGCATCCTGCTGTTTACTTTCTAAGAGCTATGAGAAATGAAGGGCAAACTTTCATTTAAGGCATGCAGTCTGAAAACAACTAATTTAGAAAGCATTTCATTTAATCATACACAATGTTGGAGGGTTCCTTAAACTTGGCTCCAGCATAATTGAGGAAAGTTTAGACTGAATAACTACAGGAGTCTCTTAATTCTATTCCTTCTTATCTGATTCATGCCGCATCAGAGAAAGCCACACCCTAGGAGCTGCAGGCTTTGCTTCAAAGGAGGAGGAATTGCAGCTAGCAGAGCACAGTAAAGCAGAAGCAGAATACAGCAAAGAATAGAAAAAGTAAGCCCACCACTGGCTGGAGATCCTTGCCAGTTAGGAAGAACTAGATGAAAGCAGTCACACATCTTGGTAGATTGCAGTGGCACGGCAATAGTAAGAGAGGAAAACTTGTCTTTTCAGAGGGTCCGAGTGTTGCATCAATCCCACTCCAGATGAGGAGACGGAGACTTTGTGATTCTGCGATGCAGGAAAAGTGCAGCTAGACTGAAACTAAATGCTGACACACTCCCTACTCGTCCCTAAATGTATTTCCTTGGATGACAACCAAATTATTCCAGGCTGGCCTGCTTTGCATTGTGCCTGAGTGATCACAGCTTGCAGTGCTGGAGCCTCAGGTCATTGCAGAGAAAGAAAAGAGAGTGATGTAGATACTCCTCTCAGGGACCAAAGAGGCTTAGGGAAATTGATTGAAGAGACCCAATCTGCTTCACTCACCTGATTCGCTACTGCTTTCCTGTAGCTGAAACTGAGAGAGCAAACTGACACAGGGAGTGCAGCAGCTTTTGTGAGGTAGTGAGAGCTCAGGAACAGCCTGAAAGTGAGATGATGGCATGTCGTGTATCTACAAGTGTCAAGGTCCCACGAGTCTCGGTGTAGGGAAGCAGGAGCTTGAAAAAAACATTATTGTAGGGGAATGGAGACCCCAGTGTTCTGCCTTTGCGCTCCTTGATATTTAGGGCACCATCCAAAGCCCATTGAAGTCAGTGGAAAGACTCTCATTGATTTCAGTAGGCCTGTCGATTGGGCCATTCGACTGATTAAAACCTGTTTGACGTGTTTAAACATCTGTATCTTAACAAAAGAATGAGAAATGCATTAGGAGAACTAATTTCACATGTGGCCCTTTTAACAGCCATCAAGGGTGAAATACAGTGGGGTGTGAATTACATGACAATGCTGGTTCTATGGAATAATAATAATGCAGTGCATTTCAGCCAGTTGGATCCCAAAGCCCTTTACAATCTTTACTAATTGTTTATAGAAGATCCAGAGGAATGACATTGCTCACCACAAATGCAGCCACCTCTGTGGCAGAACATGGCAGCTGTTTAACAGCAATGCAAAATGTCTGATCTGACACCCACTGAAATCAGTGGAAGTCTTTCCACTGATCTCAGTGTGATCTGGATTGAGCCCAAGAGCAATAAACAGTGTATCACAGAATGTGAACAATATAAAAATGTGGATAATTTAGGAAGGCAGATTGTAGTTATCTAAATCAGAGTGCAAGCCAAGTCACCCCTGCTGCTTGCTTGGGAACATTGCTATGGAGTCTCATACTAAAGATGGATGACAACAGATAGACCTGTGATAGACAACAGTAGAGGACAGGAAGTGAAGAAGACTGTAGTCAACTTAAAGTACATAGACTTACCCAGATGGGAGAGTGGGGACTTGATACCCCTCAAAGATTCCAGGGAGGGCTCACTGACCGAAATGGGATGTGTGGGATCATTCCTTTGCTCTCTTTACAAAGTCTGTGGGGCTCCAAATGTCGAGGGTAAAGTAAGACTGAGAAGGCCAAGTAAAGGTCCAGAACTGTGGGGCCAGAGGTTATGTGAAATACATCAGCCCAGATTCACAAACATTCATGGTTCTGGACTGATGATCGTGAGAGGACCAGAATCTGAACTTACCTTAATATGGGAGTGGTTGTAAGGTTCTAGTCAAACTGTTTTTGCAATGCCTCCTCTACATCCACATGCATCATCAGCAGGGCCTGAACACCGTAGGATAGAACTCTACCACTTGAGCTAAAAGGGTAGCTCCTTTAGCTGAGAGCAGTAGTAGGCTCCTAGCTTTTAGAGATCCAGCCACTAGACAAGGAGATAACGTACTCTTTGCCAGTGTATTACATTTGCACAACTTTATGTTGCACAAGAGATTCCAGAACCCTAACCCAGTGATGCATCTGGCCCATTAGGAGGCAAGAAGAGTCTCTGTCTCAAAAGCCTTACTGAATACAGCCCTGTAGTGGCAGGCCATTCCAAGCTCTGAGCCTCACAGCCTGAATACTATAAATATGAATCAGAAAATACAGTGAAGTGACTCACACGGATTTTCCAGTTGCATCTGATGTGAATCCTCTATATTTGCAGAGACAGCTGATTGGAGAGTATGAGCAACAGGCACGTGGCATGCAACAAATGGGTTAGTGGAGAAGGGAAAGAAAAATCCAAGTGCTATTTCCTATTTATTATTAATTATTATTATATATTATTTGCACTACTACAGAGACCACTACTAGACCAGGGCCTCCTTGTGGTAGACACTACACAAACACAGAACCATGACAGTCCCTGTTAACAATCATTCACAGACTTTGCTTTTGAGCTTAACATTGAGTTTAAGACGACAACTGTTGCAGAACAAACCCAGGAAGGCAGCTCAGCTGGAACCCTCTGTTTATTTACTCACTTCAACCATGTTTCAGTCACAACCCTGAAATATTTGCTTGTTGAAAGTTCCTGTTGGTTCAGTTGATTTTTGCCTGCCAATATATATGTGCAGCATGAAAAGTTTGAGATATAACAGCATAATATATATATGTTTCAGAGTAACAGCCGTGTTAGTCTGTATTCGCAAAAAGAAAAGGAGTACTTGTGGCACCTTAGAGACTAACCAATTTATTTGAGCATGAGCTTTCGTGAGCTACAGCTCACTTCATCGGATGCACACCGTGGAAACTGCAGCAGACATTATATACACACAGAGATCATGAAACAATATATACAGTAGAACTTCAAAGATACAAACACCAGAGTTACAGACTTACTGGTCAACCGGACACCATGTGAAACTAGAAGTCATCAATCAGGCAGCAGCAGAGATAAAAAAAACCTAGAACCCAGCAAATATTGTACTGCCTCTGGGCTTTAGCCCTGGGACTTTCGGCTTCAGCCATGGTGGGGTTGGGGCTGCACCTGTGGGGAGGGTTCAGGGCTCCGGGCAGGGGTGGGTCTGGGGGCTTCTGACCCTTGGGAGCACCAGGGCTCAAAGCTTTAGACTAGGGGGAGTACTGGGGCTCAGGGCATTAGCCCTGCGGCTCCATTCCCAGCTTCAGCCCACTGGGAGGTTCCGGGATTTGGGGCATTCGCTAAAAGGGGAGCTTCGGTTTTAGCCCCAGCGCACCCCTGTAGCTAAAGTCCTGAGCCCCGGCACCCTCTGTGTGGCTGAAGCCTGGTATGGAGTGGCAGGACTGAAGCCCCAATCCCTGGCAACCCCCTGTGGGGGCTGAAGCCAGGAATGGAGCTGTGGGGCTGAAGCCCTGATCCCCGGCAACCCCCTGTGGGGCTGAAGCCAGGAATGGAGTCGTGGGCTGAAGCCCCAGTGCTCCCCCCAGGTCTAAAGTCCTGAGTCCTGGTGCTCCCAGGTGGCAGAAGCCCTGAGCCCCCCACCAGGAGCCCTGGCAGCCCCTAGGGACAGAGGCCCTCACCCCCATGCCCAGAGCCCTGACATCCCAACCCCACCCTGTGGCTGCAGACCCAACTCCCCCATGGCTAAAGTCCCTAACGTCTTGTTCAGAGTTATGGACAAACTCCATTCCTGAGCTGTCCGTAACTCTGAGGTTCTACTATATCATAAAAACATAAGAACAGCCATGCGGGGTCAGCCCAGTTGTCCATCTAGCTCAGTATCCTGTCTTCCAACAGTGGCCAATGCCAGAGGCTTCAAAGGAATGAACAGAACAGGAAATCAGCAAGTGATCCCTCCCCTTTCATCCATTCCCAGCATCTGGCAGTCAGAGGCTTAGGGACACCCAGAGCATGGGGGTTGCATCCCTGACTCATTGCTAATAGCAGTTGATTAACCTATCCGCCAGGAATGTATCTAATCCTTTTTTGAACACAGTTATAGTTTTGCCCTTCACAACATCCCTTGGCAATGAGTTCCACAGATTGATTGTGCGTTGTCTGAAGAAGTACTTCCTTTTGTTTGATTTAAACCTGCTGCCTATTAATTTCCTTGGGTGACCCCTGTTCTTGTGTTCTGTGAAGGGGTAAATAACACTTCCTTAGTCACTTTCTCCACACCATTCATGATGTTGTAGATCCCTATCAGAGTCCCCCTAGTCGTCTCTTTTCCACGCTGAAGTCCCAATCCTTTTAATCTCTCCTCACATGGAAGCTGTTCTATACCCTTAATCATTTTTGTTGCCCTTCCCTGTACCTTTTCCATTTCTAATATATCTTTTCTGAGATGGGGCACACAGTGTTCAAGTTGTGGGCATACCATGGATTCATATTGTGATTTTCTGACCATCAGCATCAATGAGAGCTGCTGGGTGTTGATAGTTTTTGAGTCTTTTGCTAGTTGCTCTTCAAATTCTTTTTTTGGCCTGCCTAGTATACTTTTACACTTGACTTGCCAGTGTTTATGCTCCTGTCAATATTCCTCATTGGGATTTAACTTCCAATTTTTAAAGGGTGCCTTTGTGTCTTTGACTGCCTCTGTTACTCTGTTGTTTAGGTTTTTTTTTTTTTTTTTGGTCCTCTTATTATTTTTTAAAATTTGGGGTATACATTTAATTTGAGCATCTATTGTAACAGCCACACTGGGTCAGACCAATGGTCCATCTAGCCCAGTGTCCTGTCTTCCGACAGTGGCCAGTGCCAGGTGCCCCAGAGGGAATGAACAGAACAGGGAATCATCAAGCCATCCATCCCCTGTCGCCCATTCCCAGCTTCTGGCAAATAGGCTAGGGAAACTTCAAAGCATGGTTTTGCACCCTTGCCATCCTGGCTAATAGCCATTGATTAACCCACCCTCCATGAACTTATCTAATTCTCTTTTGAACCCTGGTATAGTCTTGGTCTTCACAACATCCTCTAGCAAAGAGTTCCTCAGGCTGGCTTTGCATTGTGTGAAGAAATACTTCTTTTTGTTTGTTTTAAACCTGCTGCATATTAATTTCATTTGGTGACCCCTAGTTCTTGTGTTATGAGAAGGAGTAAATAACACGTCCTTATTTACTTCCTCCACACCAGTCCTGATTTTATAGACCTCTATCCTATCCCTTCCCTCCCCTCCCCCGTAGTTGTCTCTTTTCCAAGCTGAAAAGTCCCAGTCTTATTAATCTCTCCTCATATGGAAGCTGTTCCATACCCCTAATAATTTTTGTTGCCCTTTTCTGTACTTTTTCCAATTCTAATATAACTTTTT